TTTTCTGTTAAGTAATTTTCTTCTTCTCCATGGTAGGCACAGATAGAAATAAATGTGTTTCCTACGTGCCTCCCACACTGAAAATTGCTTGGTTCTACTCACCTGAAGGAAGCCAGGGCTAAATCACTTTTCTCTGTAACAGGCATATATTAAAGCTTTCCGCTTCCACTCAGAGGCAGCTAATGTGCTGATTTAGCATTGTTTCTGACCTCCCATTCTTGTCTTTCTCCATTAATCCTACAGCATTTCAATGTTTTAATCCAACACATAATTTTACCATATCAGTCAGCCAAACCTGTGCAAGTTTTACTTGCCATGATAGCTTTTAACCTCACATTCATTACCATAATTCTATGTTTTATATTACAGACTGGTCAGCTTTCACCTTAAATGCAAGGGGCAGAAAAGAGTGCGATGGTGTTAAAAGCTGTAAATCTCAGAGACCAAGGAAGTTGGAGAACAGGAAGAAAACAGTGAACGTGTCAAGCCTGGCTGTAAAAGCAGATGGACGACACAGGGTGCAGTTTGTTCAGAGAAACACTCCAGCCCAGATCTTTCACTGCCTCAAAGCCACTAATAAACTGGGGGAAAGTCAGAGCCACTTAATTAGAGACCATCTGGAACTCAGGTGTGGCTAGGAGGCAGGCCCATGAGAACAAGCTAAGGGTTCCTGTTCTTAACCTTTGCAAATGATATGAACATCTAGAATATTCTATGATAAATCAAACTTTAGCAACACTCTGAACAAACAACATCCATTAAGATACCACAGCAGATGGATGGCAAATATGAACCTATATCATACTTTTTCATTCTGTTAAAAATTTACAGGAGGTTAAGTGTTATGTCTTACTTTCTCTAAGGAAATTATTTATCCATGTCAAAGATATGAGACGTTATGGTGCCATATTTTCCATTTATTTATTTATTTTATTTATTTTTGGACTGCCATTAGAATCCAGGGCTTTTGCAACTAAGCTACATTCCTCAGTGTGTGTTTGTGTGTGTGTGTGTGTGTG